AATAGTGTTTTGACTGACTAGTACAGAGCCCGTGCGATGCACGGGGTGCACAATTTTAAAGTTATTTATCCAGCCTTATAATTATATAAATGAATAAAAAAATGTACGGGATATATATAGTACGGGACCGTGCGAGACATGAGATATATTTATTTAGGGAATATTATATTATAAGATGCAATATTCAATAAAAGTTCTATAGTACGCAGAAAAATTATACAATAAAATAGTATCTGACAAAAAAAATCATTATTATTAAAGACCTCCTTGTACATATATTAAATAATTTATTAGTAAAATAGTGTATAAGTTGATTACAATAACAAAACAACATGCTCACGGGATTAGTAAAAATATTCCATGAATTGAAGATTTAATGGGATTAAACGTTTAAATTAATTAATTTAGATAATTCAAAAGCCTTCCAACATTGTTTTGACTTTAATATATTACAACATGTGTATACTTTAAATATATTAATATTTAAGAAACTTTAAACAACATAATTTTTAAAAAAATTATTTTAGGGAAATTTAAACAGTATATTTACGTCACTCATAAAACAGATTATATTTCAACATCATAGTTATAGTATTATTTAAAGAACTTGAAACAGCATTGTTAAATATTTACGTCCACCCATAAATTTTTTACAAGTCGAAGGTAATTAATCCCGTTTCTTTATTGTTTGTTCAATTTTTTTGACAAAAATAATATCATGGATAAAAAAATTTAATATTAAATAAATTAATTAAATAATATAAAATAATATGCTTTAGACAGATATAGGATGCGGATAATCCTCTCATACCAAACAACGCGATTTCAAAATTGACTCAGATCCAGCAATTCTATCTAATATTTCATATAAATAAATATTAAATAAAATGCTTTAAACAGAAATTAGATAAGGAATTTTGGATCTGCCTTTTTTTTAGTATAAATAGGTTTTACGTATATTTTTTGACTTCACCGATTATGGGATTTGTTTTGACTAAATCGATGTTATTATGGAATAAGACAAATAAATAAAGTCTTTTTTTTAGTAAAGATTTTACGTATTTTTTTTTTCTTATCGGATGTTATGAGATTTTTTTTTTCTTAAGCCGGTTTTTATTTTAGTAAAAATTTTAAAGAACAACTAATATAATTTTATTTCTAACCATCAATAAAGGTTAAAAAATATTACTCGACAAATATTTATTATAATGAATATCGGTAAAATCATTGTATAAATTATTTAAGGAAAAAATATTTAAGATCATATCTGGATAATAAATGTAAATATGCAAGCATTTAATGCATATATTAAAAAATTTCCAAATAAGGTATGCATTAAATGTGTGTTGACTTTTATTGCTACTATTTTTGGTAAATAGGTTGGCTTTTAATATATACTAGTGCGTATCCCGTGCGATGCACGAGCATATAAATTTGAAAAATAATTAGACA